TGTACATTTTAGTTGTATGTTTTTATTTGTAGTGGTGGCCAGTGCTTGGATGGAAACTCTTCTTGATGTAATTGACTTACTTCCAAAAGAAATTATCAAACGAGATGTAAGTTCTTTTTTCTTGTTCATTTTGAGAATTTAAAACATGATTGTCAGATCTTGATGTATAAAATATAATATGGAGTGGCACATATTTAATCAAGATAAGAAAACTTGTTATTGGTATCTTCGGTATAGAACTTACACTAATAAAAATTATGTTACTAAGTTTTTTGCTGATAACTAGGCCATTTTGAAGGACATTTTAAATATTCATTAACTTATTATGAAGTCGTTTTTATTCTGTGATTGAATCTGAATTCCTCTAGTTATGGTATTTAAGTTAAATTTGATTTTCAATAAACACAGAGAAGAAAGTGTATATTATTCAAGACTATTTTCTCCTTACATGTGATATGCTATTAACATGTCAAAAAATTGATTGACTACATTTGAGATGGTGGTAAAACTACACACAGTTTGAAATTCCTACTTCAGAAAGTCTTGAAGCTCTATAGTTTTATTTATTTTTTTAAATTCCTAGAAATGTAGGAGAGTTAGATATTTATCTTCTCTCCTCTTGGGAGTTAATTTTGGTAAGATATATTTACTTAATTCAACAGCTTTTAACGCTTGCTGTCAATAAGGGTCAGCTCTCCCAACCTGTTTCTTCCCGACTTCTGTGTTGCAAAATGGTTGGCAAAATCTCTACTAAGTTTGATCCATACATGTAAGTATTTTTTGTGTCATGAATTATTACATCTGTTTAATATCTTGATAAAAGTATAATCAGAAACTTTTAGCTATTTGGTTGTAAGTTAACAACTAACTGAGTTATTCACAAATGGACATTGTATCCTAGTTTTATCAAATGTAAATTATGAACACATAAAAAATCATAGGTAGTTTTGCTGGGTTATATGTGGTATCACTACTTGAGTAAGGTATTTTCTTTTCAGTAAAAATTTAAAACATTTAGACTACAAAAAATCTTAAGATTGAAAAAAAAAGACAGCTTGTACTTGAATATTTTTAAAAAATTACTAACTTTTTCTTTTTTTTTCAATTAAAATTTGTTTAATGTTATAGTTACTGATTGGGACCCTATCGGCATTTTAAACATTTTTTATAAAGTGTGATGTGCACTCCAGTTTGTTTGTGAGGCTGCATTGTTGTCGGTTACTGTGTTTTTAATAACGTATGAATCACATAAAAAAATATAAATACTGTTAATTAATCTTGCTAATTACTGCTGGCTGTACCCTGTGTATTTTTTCTTGAGAACTGATGGTTTTATCTAATTTTTTTTATCAGTTCTTTACACTGAATTTTATAACAGGGAAAAAAACAAATGGACATGAAATTACTCAATCACGTGCATTACATGGACCTCACTGGTAATTAACAGTATAAAAACAAGTAGTTAATTTGAGGTGTAAGACCATGTATTTATTTAATGATCTAATACTTTCTTATTTCTTCTAAAAAGACTAGTGGTTTTGTTCAGCAACATATATTCAATCTTCAAGACAATCTAATAACGATTTATTGCTAAGCCTAATAAGTTTAGATGAAATTTGAAAGTTTGTTCGTATCACAAAATAAGAAATAAAACAGTAATAAGGAATGGAACAAAAACATTTTCTGTGTTTTTAAAATTTTTTTATTTTATTTATTCTTAGCATAAGGAAGGAAATCTTGCCAGTTGTTCAGTCACTTTGCCAAGATGTTGATTTTGAAGTCCGAGGGTGCATGTGTCGACAGCTAGATGCTGTTGCACGAGGGATTGGGTCTGAATTTATACTTTATCAATTTTGTTGAGTTTTAAGAAACTCAAATGCTTCAACAAGTAAAATATAATGTAATTTTGACTTAAATTTACATTCAGTATTCAAAATATTTAGTTTTCAATAACTGCACAGTGAAAGCAGATATAATTACTGTATTAAAAAGATTTTAGTTTGATATTTAAACATTCTTAATTTTATGTCCCCTCACTGTACAGTTTTTGTTTAATATAATTTTGCAAGTTTGGGTTAGTAAACCAAACATTGAGAGCCTGTTTTATCTATCTAAGATATCAAGTTTAGGCTACAATTTTAGGTTTACGATCACTCATATTGAAAAGAATAAACAGCCTCATGATTTATTTATTTTATTTTTTAAGTATGTTTCACTGTTTTCTTATTTAAACCCTAGTTTTCACTGAACACAAACATACATATGCATAAGATAGGTCAAAGTTTTTCAAGATAACCTACTCTATATTTAATTATAGCTTTTCTTTGAAATTTATTTACAGATTCAAGACATTAAAATTCTTTCATAATGCTTTAAATCAATCTTAACATTGCTATTTATAAATATCAAACTCTGTAAATTTTAGATGAATTCTCATAAATATTTTATCTAGTGTAAAATACCTCATACTTTAGCTTTAAGTTGGTTAGGAAACTTTTAATATTAATATGTAATCAATTATCATAACTTTAATTTTATCCGAGTTGGAGATGAAAATTTGTTGGATATTTTTATGTTCATTTAGATGTGTTTTCTGATACATATACAATTGATTATGCTGTTTAGCCTTGAAGCAACAAAGAGTGCTCTTCTACCAGAACTTGTTGAACTAGCCAATGATGAAGAAAGTTATGTCCGTTTAGCTGGTATTGAAACAGTGGTTCGTATGTTACCAATGCTTGATGATGGTGAGTTTTTAGTTATATGGTCATTCCCATTATCATAGTTGAAAAGCATAAATAAGCTTGAATTATTTCTCTCCTTTTCATCAAGAATACTTTTATTTTCATCCTGATGTTTTCTTTGTATTGTATATTTCTTTCTAAAAGCAGTATTGAACCATAATGAAGGATTGACTATATATTTCTTACAAAGACATGACTAATAAGACAGAGTTAAATTATTCTAGAAATATAGGAATAATTTAAAAATAAATATAATTTTGTTTCAGAAACGTGTATCCACACTGTTATTCCTCTGGTTAAGAAGTGCTGTGAAAACTTTGTGAAGACAGAAGATTCCACTCTGCCCGTAGTTGCCAAAGAACTTGGGAAGCTGTGTTGTGGATTATCTGGTTAGTAGTCAGTTTTGTTATGGCTGAACTCATAATTTTGTTTATTTCAAGCCCAAGAGATTTGATAGTGGATTTGTGGTTTAGATCTGGTAACATACACCTCTTTGCTCTGAAAACTTAATAGAGTTCTAGAGTTGTCTGAAGTTTTAACTTACATTAGAATATATAACTTCCATGTTTTACAATGATTACATTTCAAATCTTTATTACAGTTACTGTTTTTATTCCTGCAGTCAATCTGTCGGAAGAACAACGTACCTGGTTTCTGATGTATTACAGAAAGCTGGCTGTATTGGGTCTTCCTGTTCCAAGGTCTTCCAATCAAGTCTCCAACAAAAGTCCTGTGAGCTTTTAAAAATAATTACAAATTGTCAAATGTATAATTGTAACACAGAAGTTATATTTAATTCTAATATTCTTCATTAAGTATTATACACCTATTTGTGTCATTTCTTAATGTTAGATATGCATGCTCTACATTGTCATATGTATTGTTCAATTGTATATTGGTTTATTTACAGAGTCAAATATTTACTGCTCTAGAAGTGATATATTCTTTGTTACTACAACTGAAAAGAGTTTGAGTTATTGCATTTCAGAATACAAAAAAATATAAGTGTCTCTGTAGTTTAATGTATTCATTTGGAAGGTTTACAGAACAAGAAACAATGTGGGTTGTTCCACATTCACATAAGATTCTTAAGATACCCCAGACTCTTTCTAACCCTACAATAAAAGAAGAAGAATCTGTATGAGCTAGACATAGTCACAACATAAAAGAAAACCATATTTTTTGAAGTTTTTCAAATCAAAGAACTATGATTGTTATTCTCAACTTTTGTTCTCAAAAACATCTAAAGACTTGCATGTTCACTTATCAGCCCCACAAAAGATTTTAATAGCATGCATATTCAATTAATGTGACTATTTTACTAACTTCATCCTCCTTCTGTTACAGTGGGTGCTACCACCATTGAAACAATGTGACTACTTTACTGATTTTGTTTGTTAACTGTTTGTTAATATGTTTTGTATTTGCTGCAATCCAATTTGTAGATGCCTGATGTTGTGCCTCAAGCCGAGAATGAAGACACAGACAGATATACAGAGTGCCGTCTTGCTTGTGCTTACAATTTCCCTGTAAGTATAAATTCAAGAAAATCAGAGAAATGTTCTTCTACAAAGTAATTTGTTTTAATAACCAAAGTATCAGTTTGAAAGTTGTTTTTCTTTTTAGGCCATGGTGCTATTTGCAGAACCTCCAAATTTCTATAGAGAGCTGTACAAGACTTTCCAGTTATTGACAACTGATCCTTCCCCAAGTGTAAGAAGAACTATAGCTTGTGGAATTCATGAGGTAAGGTTACAAAATAATAAACACGCCAAAGTTGACCAAACAATAAAGAAAACTGAACTCTTTAAACTAGAAATTAGCTTTGTTGAAAGAGGATCTAAAGTGAAATACTTTTTTCTTTTATGATAAAAATTTCACTGTTTGCAGAAATAATATATATAATTTTTTTTAACTTGATCAACTGTTGTAGCCTATGTTCAAGCTTAAATAGATCAGGACTTGTGTCATTGTTAAGGTCCTCCATAGGACCTGAATTGCTGTGTTTTATACATGCTGATGAAATAATGTTTATAGATGTACTATAATTTATTATATTGAAAGAGTTAAACCATTTTATAGAAGCTATTATCTATAACTACTAAGGTGTAGTATGAATGAAATGTAGGTAGATTTTAGGCTTAAGGCTCACTATGCATAGAGCTCAATTACTTGTACTTTTAATAATTTAAAACCAAATCAAGTTTAAGCTTAATGTTACATAAAATGTAGTGAATATTTCACTTATGAAATTATACCTGATATCTGTTCATAGTACGGAGTATTATAAAAAGGAGGTGAACAATTTAATTTTTAACATTCAACTCTAACAGTTAACCATCAAAATCTAAACTGTCATTTCAACCTCTAACTTTCTAATATATATATGCATGTATGTTTGTGTGTCTGTGTGTATTTATATATTTATACCTCCCTCTTTAATACTTTTACTGTTTCATAGGTTACCAAGCTACTAGGAACAAAAGCTTGTTTCATCCAGACAGAATTAATCCAGCTATTAACAGATGATTCACTAGAGGTGAGAAATGCTTATGTTGTTCACTTTAGGTGTCGATAACATTTCACTTATTGGCAAACACATTTACTTTATGAGCCTAATTGTTCTATTGCGATATAGAATTATTGTTAATGACACTGAAAGATTTCATTCTTTTTATCATATCTGGTAAAGTAGAGGATGAATTTAAAGTTTTTTTTTTATTACACTGATTCTTTGTCTTGTCGATTAAGTTGAGGATATTCTAAATTCTCTGTATATTACTTCATTCTTTGTTTGGTTTTGTTCTTAAGATTTTATGAGAGGTTGTGTTTTAGGATTTATTGTAGTGATTTTTATTTAAGTTTTCTCAGCTTGTTGAATAATGTCGTGTTAATGTTTCTCTTTGGCATGCTATGCTTAATACGTTCTTTCTCAGAGTTCTTTATGAAATCACTTGAACCTGAAAATAATTTTGAAGCAACTTGAATAAAACTTAGTTATTTTTTTAATATTAATTGGTTAATTTCTTTCCAGGTTATTAAGGGTCTTGTGGTTCATTTACCAGAGACATTGGAGGTTATAACTGCAAGTAATGAACTCAGAGATGAGAAGGTATGTTTTTTATGTTTTACAAATAACAAAAGAGAGTATGTAGATTTATATCAGAACCAAATGCCTATGTCAATTTTCTGATGGTTTGGTTAATGGTTAAATTCTACTTTCTGTGTTTCATGTTTAATTTATTAGATGGATCTCTAAACAGGATCTGTTTTGACATAATGTGATCTATTCTGTTAGGTTCCTTTTCTAGAAGACCACTTAAAAGTCATATTTGTTTTAGATAACACTTTATTCTAATACAGAAAGAACAGTGTGATGTTAAGGAGTGAGTTTCCAAAGTCTTGAAATTAAAATAGTTTTATATAGAATCAAAGAATGGAATTGTAACAACCTTATAAGAAGAGCAACTGATCAGACAAGATGAAACTGTACTTTTTTGTTGTTGTTGTTTTTTTAAAGGAAAAGGAGAGTTTGGAAAACTTGGTGGAAGCTTTGTTAATTTGTGAAGATGCTGCATCCCAGACTAGCAACTGGAGACTTCATGCTGACTTCCTGTCTCGGCTTGTGTGTGTGGTGCGATGTTTTCCTGGAAGGCATCTCTATGATACCTTTGTTCCTCTTTTGCTCAACAGGCTTCATACCGCTGTAATGTACTTTTATATTTAACTTTATTGTTTCTAGTTTAATTTATTTTCCTAATTTGAGTTGCTCTTAAATTTGCAGACTTTTAGAACCAATCCTCAGTACAGGACTTAAGAACTGTCGTGTTACTGTTGTAAATCTGATTATTTGGCAATTATTGTTAATAGAGTTTTAAAAACTTCAATTACATTCTCTAGTATGACCTATTTAAAACTTTTGTTTAAAAAAATTATTAAAAGTAGCAGACCATACCAAGAATGGTGCATGTTGAGAGCCCACACAGAATGTTGACCCATAGAAAGTGATGATCATCGGCTCCGATTAACTTATTTCCTCGAAAGGGGGCTGAAGGCCGACTGGAGGGGGTCACCTGTTTTAACCCCTTGCACCACTATACAGTAGTGTGTTTTCTGTCAGTCAATTAGTAGACATTAAAATGACATCACATAAGGGACACTTACTGTTGCAATTTGTACTTTTGTGATGTCAGTAAAACATGCACATGCCATGAATCACAAAAAGAATTTTGCATTCTGTAGGCTAGAACACAGCATGACATATGGACTTCAAAAGCAAGAAATAATAAAAAAAAAAATTTTTTTTTTACTCTTAATTTTGGTTTTAT